GAGGAAGGGAGATGGGGGGGGGGAGAGAGATGTTGGGCAATCGAAGGGTGGGTGCGAGCAGCGATTGAGTTCGTTTTTGAATGTTTGAATTTTGGTATGAATAAATGGTCGGCCGCTGCAAATGCTTTTACGTACACCACGGTCTACACCGTGACGTACACCGTGTTGGACGCGGAGCGATACGAGGGGGCATGGCATGTTGTTGCGAATCCACTTCTCAGACCTGTGTACTTAATTATGTCCTAGTAAATACCTACGTTTTTACTCAGCAGCAGCAGCAACAAGTATACTTATTGTGTATGTATATTTTAATTATGTAACTTACTGTGAAAAGAATAAATGTCAAAAGGAATTGTTTGGTACATTACTCTGCTGACGAGAAAAGTCGTCAGCGGCTTATAAAGGTTTTCGAAGCAGCAGAAAATACTGACAAAGAAGTCAAAAAGATCCGAGGGGACCTCCACTTCCTTCCTTACCTAGTGTAGCCACGAATATTTTGGGTAAAGGCAAGTATTGGTGAGTACTGGCGAGTATCGTGAGTACTAGCGAGTTTTGACGAGTTTTAGTGAGTACTAGCGAGTTTTGGCGAGTTTTAGTGAGTTATTGTTTGCGAGTGACTAGTAATTCCCCTAAACACTTGCGAGTAACCATAGTCACAATCATAGTTAGTAATAGAGAGTACTGGCAAGTTGGGCGCGAGTGGCGCGAGTAATTTTCTTTGCGTACACAATAACGCAGTGGTGGGCCCCTTGAAAAAAGTCAGTACCAGTATGAGAGTGAACCCCTTCTTTTAGGCCCCATGGGGGTGCGTCTCCGTCTTGTAGAGTGTGGTGGTGGTGTGGGGGGTGGAGGAGGTGGAGGTTGCGCAGTGACTTGACGTCAGCTGGGTCCCTCTCCCCCTTCAATCCGTAGGGGGCGGTGTTGGAGGGGGAGGAAGGAAATGAAAGTCGTGTGGAGCCGCTGATTGCCCCGCGCGGGGGTTGAAGGGGAGCCGAGCGGGAGGGGGACACGGACGCGTCACGTGATCAGCCAGCCGGACCCCCAATACCTGTCCGCCTCTGCAACCCCGCCTTTGAAAACGCTTTGTAAACGCTTGTCGGTGTAAAAAACGTCCCCTAAAGAAACGCGTTCTTGGGGCGCAAATCAGAAATAAGCTTATTGAAGCGTGCCAGAATTACATTAATTATCTCTCTTATTTTAACTTGCTAAAGATGAGGTGAATTTGTCGTTGTGCAGCTTCGAGTGTATTTCTGGTATTTTCATTTTATTTTTGACGTGTATTCG